AGACTAACAGTAGCTCACGATTCACTTCGTGCGGGTTTGAAAAAAACTTAATTATGTGTACTTTCAGACTATTTCAGCGAGATTCATGCAGACGTTCTGGATATACCTTTTAACAGTCATCCATAGAACCAACATTCGCAGTTATAATATGAGTAAGAAGTATGATTATTAGTATAAGCATAGTCTAGCTTCACAAAGGATGTATTTTAAAACAAAAAGTTCGCAATTACAAATAGAGTTTCTCTATAATAAAAAGATACATACACAAGTATGTACATCTTTTCACAAAGTTTTACGAACCCTAAAAATATAGAACAAAGCATTTGGTTACTTTCACTTTTGTTGATGACTGTACCGCAAGTCGTCAGTCGGCGCTTTTGTATCCATGAGAAACATTCATTGCCAGCTGTCAAATGAAAAAGTTCTGCGAAAAAAGAAATACCTCTTTTTAAAGCGTACTTAAATAGTTCGTATGTACCCAGCTTATATATAGAGCGATAAATAAATGTACATATAAAATATTTCATTGTTTATAAGTATCAGAAGCTTCAGTATTTATAAGCTGTAATCCGTCTTTGTAAAACCAAGTCTACAAGCCTATTTAACTAAAACGTTGATCCCATCTGTTTATGACGTAGAGAAACTTTGTTATGAGATCATTTACAAACCAACGGCGCGCATCTTATCTCCGCGTATAATTTGCTACCATAGGGTTGATGGAATTACGCTTGGAACAATAAAGGGGTTTCTTAAACTCACGATAAATCTTTAACAAACATGTGATATAGGAAACAAAGTGAATTGAAATAAATGTACTTAGTACTATTTTCGTAGCACACGTCTACGGCGTAGCAATGGTATATTCTACACGAAAACGACACAGCGAATACAAAGGATTAAAATACTGAATATGTGTCCCAGTTTTCATGTTATCAAAATAGTTTATTAAAAAATAACAAAATTCACAATAAATAAAAAAATAAGCACATAATGATGTGCTATATTCATTTCATTTTTTTACAAAAACAAAAGTTACATTGAATACTATTATATAAGATTTATAATATGTAACGTATTTGTCATGCGTCTACATTACAAGAATAGCTTAACCTAGTTTTGAAATGTTTATTTTAAAACAATGACGTAATACTGCACTCTGACATTAGAGCCACTCCACTCCAACTATTGCTAATTTATTCATTTTCACGTAACTTTAAGCTTATCAATTTTATATTTAACATTTGTAACAGAAACAAAACGAAAAGTATCAAATAATATAAAAACACATTTTATTGGAAACAACGTCAAACTGTGTTTTCAAATATATTTTCTACTATTTTTTTGATTATGAATCTTTCAATTAATAACTTACTTTTATATAATATTATGTAGATACTTTTAGGTTGTTCTTTTCCTACTCAGATGTCAATACCCTCAATACTGTTAAGAATTGCTTAGATCAATAATCGCTTTTGAAATCATCACCATCAGCTCACTATACGTCCCCACCGAGGGGCTCGGAGCCTACCCTAAAGTAAGGGTGGTTAGGCCATAGTCAACCACGCTGGCCAAGTGCGGGTTGGTTGACTTCACACATATCTTTGAATTACTTCTCAGATATGTGCAGGTTACATCACGATGTTTTCCTTCACCGTAAGAACGTCGGATAAATGTACATATGTAAATCGGAAATCGAAAAACACATTGGTGTATGGCGGGATTCGAACCCAGGACCTGCAGATTGCAAGTCAAGTACCTGACCACTGAGCCACCGATGCTCCACCCCCGCTTTTTAAATACTTGAAATAAAATTTACGCGTGATAAATCTATAAACCAGATAAAATTACAAAAACAATTGAAAACGGAAATTTCTCTATTGAATCGTTCGTTGAGCGATGTTACTTTTGTGTCCGTTGATCAGTTCCCTGTCATCACTCAGCGCTATTGTGTCCCAGAGTAACCATTGCGTCGCGTCGCCACACAAAAAAGTTCCGGTACAACTAAAGCGTGTTCAGACAAGTATTTTCTAAAGAAAAGAATGACCCGATTTTTTTTGCAACCCTAAAAGCTATCAGACCTATCTCCGCCGGCTTACACGACTCAAGTACTTTAACGAGTCTTTATCTCACACTCGTTTTGGAGTGCCATTTATACTGTAGACCTCAGATGGGGACCGATTATTGATTTTAGATTTTTTGACGACACAAAGGCGCCGACTTTAAAAAGAACATTTGAAATCTTTTTTTATGCATGCGATTCGTACATGTTTTATTGATTTTCATACATCTAGCACTGTGTTTTATTAAACCAATGAGATCATACGCTTCAGCGACTTTATGACAACAAAGTAAATAGTCAATAAAATCTACAAAATGTTATAAAAGTAGCAAAGACAATATAAATTGAAAAAACGCTCACGTCCTCTCCAGACATTCTGCCTGGAGTCAATTTCAAGAGGACACTAAAAAAAACTCTACATCCCCCTGACATGCATCGTAGACAAGTCCTAACTTTAAGGCAACAAATAAATATTGATTGAAATAATTTTATTGTTAATTTACCTTATTCTTAATATATATTCATATGCATTTGGATTGGTTCGAGTTTGAAAACCATAAACAACAGATTTATTATATATACCTATATTATATTATAAAACAAATTCTATTTTCTCTCTGGTCATTTTCATTTATTATATTAGTAAAATCATGTACCTTTTTATACGAAATCACCCAAGTAGCGACAAAAATCGATTACCTTCCCTTAAAGGCTGGCTTAATTCCCAAACACGACTTTAAGTCGTGGATTTACAGGGACTAAGCGAATTTCCGTCCCATTTTTAACCATGTGACACAAACAACTTATCTAGGATTAAAAAGGATTGTAAAGGTGTGCTGAGAAAAGTACAAAAAATAAAAAAGCAACAGAGAATAAATCAGTAGAGCTTTTATTCTTGTTCTGTCTCTTCTATTTGTGAATGTCTAAAAAGTATAATATCAGATGCCATTGCAAAAAAAAATATGACAAACGATCAAAATATGGAGACGCCAGGGATTTCTATCATATATTCAGGGAATATTGAATACGATGACGATTAAACTTCACTTACTCCTTATATTATAGTTTTGAACAACTCTGTTTAATGTTGGAATCATCAACCTACTATACCTACCCAAAGTCAGTGGCTAGGCTATGGTCAGCGACGCTGATCCAGCGCAAATTAATTGTCTTCACACATTTCATTTCTTCGCAAATATGTGCAGGTCACGTGTCAGGTCAGGTTTCGATGTTTTCCTTTCCCGTAAGAACGTCCTATAAATGTACATGTGTAAATCGAAAATTAAAAAACAAATAAGTATACACGGATTCAAATAATGGACCTGCAGATTACAAGTCAAGTGCTTAAACCCTGAGCCAGCGACTTTTCGAATGGTAGAATCGAGGTCTTATAATATGTCTGTGAATTTAAAAAGTACAGGTTTAATAAAAATCTTTCTGTCGGCTGACAAACGGATTCTATCAACTATCAATAATGTCTGAACCGATAGTTCGATCTGATTACGGGGGCTTACCATTGTTTAGCGACAGATTAATGACCACAGAGCCCTTAGACTGTTTGACTTATAAACTATGACTAAAGCAATTGAATATCACAATGGAGAGGCAATATATTTTTTTTGTTTCTGTATTATGTCGACGTGTTACTTCAAAAATTAAAATTCTGTTAAAAAAATCTAAAGTGAGTGCTAAAGGAATAAACAACTGAAGCAGTCATTTTTAATCAATAAAAGAACACAGAGTTAACATTAGTGCACTTCGTAGAGTTAGACGTCAGTGCTGATTAACACATCAGATTCTTAATTAAAGATGTACTTTCCTACGAAAACCTTCTCGAGAATAGAAGAGTTCGTCTTTTCTTTATCTTACCTCAACAGACCGTATACTTGTAGATAGAATACAAATCTTTTGTTTTTCTTTAGTTTTAATACTGGATATTTAAATAAAATAAATATATAAAAATAATTTTAATACAAAATTCGAGATTTCGGCAAAGTAAAAGGTGCGCACGACGCGTCGTGTGTGCGGTTTTCTAAGTGGTTTACGCTAAAGGTGAACCACTTGCCTACGCATCCTTAATTAATAAAAGGGCTTTTGAACTTTAAATTCACACCCAATTAAGGTTGACGTAATGTAGGAAAAAATTAATTAATGTACAAAGTAATTTTTTAATTAATAAATTAGACATATTTGTAAGTCGAAATGTCTTTAGACATATACGACATATATTTGTGAAAACTATTTTTTGACAGATTTTTTAATATAAATTTACTGCAAATATATTAATTTTATTTGAACACAATTTTTAAATAATTTTACAAGTAGATTTGTAGAGTATTTTTATATAACTATCGTATTCCTACAGTTTTATATTTTATTTTTGAACCACGGTCAAGAGTTTTTTTTTTAATCAATTAGACAATATCACTAATCAAACAAATAAAGTAACATAACTTAAAAAAAATTCTGTGCCCCAAAAAGGTAAAATTTCCAGGAAGGTTTCCTTTGAACGTGATAACGAGTGAAGCTGTCCTTTTTTCCGATTCCCTTCAATATGACCGGAATTAATCTATAGGTCAGTATTACGAATTCACCATTTACCTGCCAAATGCTAACCCTCATTAATAACTTTTATCCTTGATAACTATTTCTAATTGAGCTTATGCTCACCTTTTTTATTATTTAAATGTACCAAGGAATCATATATTTAGTGCTCTATAAATAAGTGTTATATTAACATAATGTATTTAAGTCTAAAAGAAAATTAAAGATAAATAATTACCGATTTATTAATAAAAATAAATTTCCTTCTTCGAAATTCATGTATCAAGTTTGTATTCTCAAGTGACGTAAATGTTGACGCTTGACGGCTGGTAAGGTACGGGTATATACCTATAGGTAGCTACGTAGACGAATACTAGATTATGAACACCTGGCGTACCTTAATTAAGTCTGAGACCTCATGGTGACTGCTCTACAGCGGTCCAAAAATATCGATTCACGACGAATCCAGCATGTCGGCCGCCCTCTAGGGCAGACGGCTCCTCTCGCTCTATGTACACATAGGACACAACACGTCAAGCGAGATATCAAAACGGTTTCCCGCCACTAGTATTTTAACACTCCTACTGGCACTTATTAAATATTATCGTCAGAACTATTGTAAGACTAATTAACACTGTTTTATTATTAACTTTAACTAATATGACTCAAGATATGGATGAAAAACAGACTAAAAGTTTCATTATAATATTAAATTTGCGCAGCGGATTACACATCCATCTCTCCCGCTTGCTCGACCCGACTGCCTGATTTTCCTACGTTTTCCCGGCGCAAGCCTTCACCCCTTGTAAACGAGCACGTTCGCAATGATATACTGTTAAATGTATATGTTGCTTTATCCCTGGGTCGCAAATGAAATTATTGAATCTTTAATATTACGAAAAACCTCAAATGGCAGAAAAAAAGACTTTTTACTTTGTTAGATATACGAATGAGAACTATTTATTCATATAAATTCATTTTAAATTTGATTTTATTACTTTTATTGCAGGAAATTAATTTAATATTATGGCGTTAAAAGTCGGAGCATTAGTAATTTCAATATTATTTTTGTATTGAATTATCAGTGGTATTGAAGCCCAATGAGTTTTAAGTATCTTATCGGAAAGTCTGATGTTATAAATATAATTCGGATGGGCTCAGTATGAAATAAATTTTCATTAAAAAAAATCGTGTCTTAAACTCATCGGTTAATGTAACTTATTACGGCATCTCGTATTTGATTAATAAATATTGAAATTCATTTTAAAATTACCAGAAATTACGCCTAACATAGTAATATTTTGAATGCATCTTTTTATTGGCCATAGAGTAAACCACCACGCTTTGTCAAACCATAGATTAAAAATTGGCACATTTGTTTGTATTTATTGACATTGTGTACATATTTGATTACAATTGTGTTAAAGTGTTGTATTATTGTTATTTTTGATTGTCAAGTGTAAAGACGCTCTACAAACTATGTTTGTGAAAGCATTTAATTAAATTCAATAAAAAGTGTCGTGAAATAACAATATTAACTATGGCTCAATCTGAAGACACAGAACTACGTGACTTAGTGGTCGAAGCGTTAGAGAAGAACGGATCACTTGCCAAAATACGCGCTTTACTGAGAGCAAACATTTTCCTAGTTTTTGAAGATGAATGTGAAAACATTAAACAAAACGTTAGTTTGGACAGTATATTGAAGTTACCCGAAGGTATCTTCTGTCTTTCCTTAATTCATGAATTTCTTGAATATTGTAATCTGAAAAACACGTTGTTTGTTTATATGTCAGAATCACGTCAAGGAAAAGAGTATAGTTACGAGGGAACTAAATTGTTGCTGGAAAAATTGAAACTAAAACGTAACAATAATAAAGAACCTGTTTTAGTTACTCTAATTAAAAATGTTTTCCAACAACAGACAAAAACTTTTGGGCATAATGAGAGGCATGTTAAGAGAAACGAAAACACTTTAAAAGATGAACAAAATAACACATATATTGTACATGAAGATTCTACTACAAGTTTGAGCAATTCCACCTCAGATAATTCTTCTGACGAAAAAAATAAGCTGCATTTACGATTACAGCTCGATAATTCAGATACTGATACTTCAAGTGACTCCACAAGAGGAAAAACAAGTTCAGAATATATTCCAAGTGAGCATATACTTACAAATCAAAGTCCTCACAATATTACATATTCAAAGGTACCTGATAATGGCTCTAATTTAAAAAATAATACCATAAGTATACAAGGTCCTGAAGCAAATAAAAATCAAAGCAATAGTGAATCAACATCATATGTGGAAATTAAATCTTTAAGTCCCTTAGATAAAATTCTTTTTAACACAACAGGAGTACCTTGCCCTGAAGAGAAGACAGATGTGGATACTGCAAAACATTCTACACAACAACCAGATATTCAAACACCTTCTAAAACAAATCTTAGTAATTATAACAATAATAAAAATGAAACAACAAAATCGGAAAGTTCAGGGAAAGATTTAACCGAATATAGCTTAGACTTTACATCGCCAGCTTCTGTCAAAAAGGAATCCGTAAGTAATGATAAGTCATCCGAGTCAATACATAATCAATCACTTGATTACAGCCCAAAGATACAAGAGGACTTTGATCAAAAGTCCATAACAACACCAGATTCTATTTCCACATCGGATGTGGCTGATATCTTAAGTGACAAAAGTAATTCTTCTCATCACAAAAACATTGATAAAAATTCAACATACAGTAATAAATCTAAATCAATATCAAATTATTCAAAGAAAAGTTTTCATGATAGTATTAAATTGCTCGATGATGATTTTGGTGATTTTTCCGAGTCCCCAATTCCATCTCTGTCTAATCTCAGTCTGGACATTCATAGTGATTAGCCAGAAAATAATTATCAGTTTATTTTTAATTATCTTATGGTATTACGGTTTTATTTTGTATTGTTTGATGGAATTAGTAAAATTATGGGAAATCAGAATGTTTAATTGTTTGAAAAAGGAATAGTAAATTAAAAAAAAATGTCTAAGTATAGCAGGGGTTATAAAGTATTTTATTCAGTGTGAGCATGTGAGTTAATAAAATAAATGTAAACTCATGGCATGTAATCCAGAGCTATAATGATATATACTGGATAGTGATTATCGTAAAGCACAGCTTTATCCGGTTTTGTTTATCAAAAAATTAAAAAAAAACAAAGAAATATTTGGGCTAAGGCCATGCATTTCATCCTAAGTATAATGTCTCTTAGAAATATGATTGAAAAAAGTAGGTCCTCTTCTACTAAAATTAAAACATGTAAAGATTCTAATTAATTTAAACCACTTTCCAAAAAGGGGTGGTTCTTAATTTGTCTGTATTTTTTATTATATTCAAACTCATCCAACTTACACTAATCCATCCATCTTCCATACAATGCTTGAATATTTATACAAATTAACTTTAATTTATTTATTTTCATGGATTTGTACTTTAAATTGATTATTTCATCTATAAAATTATGTAATCATATCATTAGTTAAAAAATTATAAGTTAATCTCTAGATAATCTAGCTTTTATGAATTGGACTCGGGTAGAGAATTGATTACTGATAGGTGAAATTAATTGTGTATGTCTAAAATTACAAGGGGCTATTCTTTTTTATACAACTTGATTCATCATTAAATATAATTATTCTCTTTGTTGATAGAATTACATGAAAAAAAAGGTTTCGGGTTTTGATTCAGCGGTTTGAATTTTGGTAATTAGCTGTCACATTTTGAGTCTTATCATTCTTTACATGACTCTTAGTGGCAGTATGTGTAATAATGTAAGCAACTACTTTATGAAAATGTTTTTAATTCATTTAAAATATTTTTTTATCCATTTAAAAAAAATGACAAAAATTAAAAATACATATTATAAACCGATTTTTAAGTTATGTTGCCGTCATATTAAAAGTTGTCTGTGGCAGGCCAAGTTCTAGTTCCTTACCATTCTTTTCTCATAAGGAAATAATAGGAAGGGGAAGTAGATTTAGCGGAGAGATGCATACAAAGGGAAAATATTTCTTTATGTCTCCTCTGTCAATTAAAAGTAAACAACTCATCCTCAAATGCACATATCTATGTACAGCGGTCACTTCGTATTTTATTGCGAAAAAGCTCCAAAATTAATCTGATCCTACTTAGAAAGTCATCATTATCAGCTCACTACACGTCCCCACCGAGGGGCTCGGAGCCTACCCTAAGTTAGGGGTGACTAGGCTATAGTCAATCACGCTGGCCAAGTGCGGGTTGGTTGACTTCACACATATCTTTGATTTTCTTCTTAGATATGTGCAGGTTGCATCACAATGTTTTCCTTCACTTAGAATGTAAATGTAATTGTTTAAAATTATGTAAATGTGTGGAAATGAAGCATGAATGACTTTGTTATTAGTATGTAATAAAGAGCATTTACTATGTACTGTATATAAGGCATTTATGTGTGTATATTTGCTAGCTGAGATCTGCTATGTCTATAAAAGGCATAATGATTTTTGGATGTCTGGTATATAAGGACTATAATCAGATTTCTCTTAGTAAGAGATAGATAGACATTGCTGTCTCAATTTAGTCCAATTATTATTTTATGCTGCATGCTTTTTATTAGGTTTATTAAAAGGATGAATAGATTATAAAGTTGAATGTACCTATAAATTGTATTTCAATGAAAAAATTACTGTCCAAATCAGTTTTTAATATTTCCTATATTACTGCTGCCTATAAAGGAAACTAAAAAAATATATACACTATATTTATGTAAAAAAATATGGAACTGGTTTTATAATTTTTGCATGAATTTTGTTATTGGTGTAAATTGTTAAATGATTCATATAGATAGGCCTTTCATGGTTCCGTTCCGGTTCAGTTCCTTTAACTATTGTGATGCATGGAATCATTAAAGGTTAACTAATAATATTAATTATTATCACAGATTGTGGTAAATATACATATTTGTTTACGCAACATTGAAGTATACACTGCCTGAGATTAATCCCTATTTCCACTTAGCAGTTAATCGCACGACTTCGGACACGTGACGCTCTCGATAAACGAGCGACCTACAAATGGAAGATATGCGCGGCTAGCTTCTAAGTGGAAATTGAGTCTTACTGATTTTTATTTACGCAAATCAGTATGCAAATAACTGTTAGTATGTAATTTTTATTTATATCTTTGTATTAATAAGCAATATGTTCCAAAATTTTTAATAACAAAATATGGTTGTGCCTTATTTAGCAGATGCGTGACAGAATCAGATGTTCCTTTTAGAAATTTCAGTCAATAATGATTCTAGTCCTTTATAACGAATGACTTGTGCCGTCCAAATTTTTTCAATGTCATATGTAATTCTGATGTAAGTTTTAAATACTGATTAAGCAATAAATAAATGAATACAACTAAAATATGTTTGTTTTATTTTCATTATACAGTACGATCTGACGTCATCATTTCATTCATTCGAACTTTCGAACGGTTAACCAATTTATATGATTCTGGAAGAAACTTATGCTTACAAGTAACTTTGTAAATACAGGTACACAAAAGCTAGCAAAAATACATTTATTTTGGTTACTTTTACTTATATAGATTCAATAGGCCCAATAAGATTTTTTCCCCTATGATTTTGGGCCTATCGTTAAGTCCAGCAGTCCAACGGGAAACATTGTTGGTAACACTAAGGAGGAAGTAATAAAAGTCATGTTTAATGTAATCAATGTTTATTTTGACAATATTTGTAAAGCACATATTGTAGATATCACGTCTCAGTTATGCACACAATTTAATATCGAACACTGTTGTTACAAGTCTATACAAATTACAAATTAATATACTATTTATTCTATTAGCGGTTAGTGTAATCACATAGAAAAGGAAATTATATTAAACATTTCTATTTACATCTTAATATTTTTTTTTATTAGGTACATGAGTTTTATATGAAAATTGTATAAAAATTACACTTTCATAATAATATTTTACATACATTGTCTTAGAAACGCGGTTTATCCTAACATCGAAATATAACAATAGTAAAAGCGATAATGCTCCAAATATTAACAGCCCTAAACTGTAAAGGTGAATATACACTAGAGCATTTTCACGAGCGTTTCTATGTAATGTAACGTTCTTACGAACGCAGGTAAAAACATCGTGAAATGGAAACACTAGAACATAGAGAGCGGCTCGTTCTGTTACAAGTAAATACCCTAATCTATACTCACCTGTAGGCTTTATAAAAAATGGATATCGCTCGAGGCACTGCAGTAGTGATTTCTATAATAACGCTCGTCTTGTAATCGAATTAAAAAAAAATCACATCAAGATAAAGAAAGGTCTAACTCATGCTCTTAATATTTGCCTAAGTATACAAATATGCAGAGAAAAATCCTTTCAAGTGTTGTGCTGTAGAAAGCATCAGTAATTCAATGCTTAGATAGGCATTTACAAAATCTGTATTATTTAGATTTTTGTGCGCAACGCAACGTTAAGACAATCTTAAACTAGCGTCTTCATCTACTGCTTGACCTGTCTTTTAATGGTCACTAAGGAGGTCTTTAGTGTGTCTTAAGTGCAACACTATGGAACTGATAGACGCAGTAATATTACTAGGACAGTAATTAGGTAAATGCCCATCTAGACATTAACGGTGTAGCATATATAAAACAATTTTAACTTAGATAATTCTTAAAGAAAATAAATATAAATATCGTACATATGGCAAATATTTGGCTTTATATAGTTTTTAGTGACAATTGTATATAAACTACCTTATTTAAATAATTTTGAAAATTAAAATGGGTTAATTTTTGAAGGTAGCAATACTAAAACAGTTTACATTGTCACTACGGACTTTTAGCAGTCATATACGTGTATAGTATGACGAACTTTTCTGGCCTAGTAACAAAAAATAAAACTAGTGTAACCCTAGTTATAAAAATGTCATCTTCGTCGTCGAAAGCGTCATTCTCATCGGGCCAAATAAGTTTGTCTGACTAATACAATGTATTTTGACATTTGTTATTCTATACAATAATAATTATAGCTCGTTGCCCATAGAGCTGTCGTGTGTGAGATTCGAGTCCATGCTCGCGTTGTCCGAATCTTGGCTTTGGTTACCGCTATAGTTGGCTGCTTCCTGCAGGCGCATTAACATATTCAACTGCGAAAAAACAATATTTTATATAAAAAAAAAACTTATTAAACAAAAGCATACACAGATATGCGTAAAACGTAGACCTTTATAGAAATTCCGATTTTTATCTGAACGTCTGAGGCATTTCGAATTCGAATTGCTTAAAGTAAAATGTCATTTTGATAAGGAATTTTAATTTGTTGAAGTAACTTACCAATGGATCTTGATTGTTATTTCTATTCGCCTCTTGATCTGCTTCTTCGATACTCATCTCCTCAACTGTGATCGCTCTCAGCGTCTGTAATATAAAGATAACTATTTCATGTTTCATTCATTACAAGTTTAAAAATGATACAAAGCAACAGGAAAATCAGTCGACCTGAAATAAACAACCTTCTTCTTTTGGAAGTCAGTTAAAGGGGGAGACCGAAAATAGAAAGGATGCCTTGTTAAAGCAACGAACTGTGAAACTCACAAGTCATGTTTACCACACTTCTGCAGTCTGAGTCTTCTCTTATCAGAGAGCTTAATATTACCCCGGTGGAAGTCAATTTCTGCGACAGCTGTTCCTATGATACTTGTGTGTTATTATGTTAGTTTGTTTTAATACTAACATGTGAGTGGTTTGGCTCTCGCCATGGGTACGTAGACTTGACGTGGTGCAGCGGGTCGACGGCTGCGTGTCGGCGGCGGCCGTACAGCGCCACGCCCTCGCGCGCCGCCTCCGACGCGTACGGCACGATACTGTAGTTCCACACGTCAGCGAACCACGCCTACACACAAATATAACAATAATACGT